TTCAATTTATTTCTTTAAATCCACATAAAATGTGCACATTGTGTATGTTTGCCAGTTTTCTGGCCATACTAGCACTTTAATCCCTGGGTCCCATCACTACCTGGTAACGGTTTCATGATTTAGGTAGAATTTTTCAAACCATTTTGACCTAACATAAAAAAATCCTTTTTTTTTTTTTTTTTTTTTTTCTGGAGGACCCTTCCAAATCACATAATCTCTGATTTTAATGGATACTAAGATGGAACCCACTGAAAAAAAAATCCATAGAAAATCTAGAAATTTGTGGGTYGGGGAATTTAATAGAGGGTAGATGGGTAGGCCTTTGTTCAGCATGGCTGCCCTTTCCTCTGCTGCATTTTACTCTTGTCCAAACCACGAATTCCTTAGGCAGGGSACCATCTCCTTTGTTCTGGTTTTGAATTGTGTCTGATTGGAGTTTTTCACTGCTACTGTTCAATTCAATTTCACTACTTAATGTTCAATTAAATACAAATAATAAATAGTTAATGGTTTGCCAAGCTGCAGAGGTGGGGCTAATCAGCTAAGACTTCATGGGATGGTTAATGATGGATTAGGAATGGGAGAACTGATAAAGCTGAATATTTAAAGGCTAATATTGTACTGGATGATGGATGTTTTGTCTGCTTCGATTGCATATGACCAGAAACTAACAATGTGCTTATCTTCCTCCTCCTTCTTCTGTAGATTACTCGGCTCCAAAACATTGCTGTTCTGAGAGTCTCTGTCCAAATTCCCCTGGGTRGAGCACTGCCCATCAGAGGAGATGGCATGAGAGGCTCTCACAATCGAAATTGGGTTGGGAGGTGAAGAAACAGTGACTCTATGAAGGAGGTGTGTTATCAGCTGCACACTTGTCTACTCCTGCTCATTCTCAGCTTGCTGAAATGGAGGGATTTTAATTGATTTTTGCTTCTTTTGCAGTGCTGATTGACGAGCCAGGGAGGAGGGAGCTATGTTCTGAGGGCATGTGGCACAGGAGGGGCTTGTCCCACTGCCTGTATGGCTCTGCWGGGACCCACGAGGAGCTTTGGCTTCTCCTCTGTGCCATGCACCGATTATCTACTGTACCCTCGATGAGCTACTGTATCCCTGAATTTGGCATGCAGAGTGAAAAGAGTAACATACGATTTCTCTGTCAAAGGATTCCTTATGTATCTCAGCTATATTTATTTATTTGGAAAAAAAATCTTACACATTTGTTAACATTTATTAGCCAGCTATATTGGTATCTCAGTAGGTATAATTAGGCTTAAAAATTAATACCTCTGAGTGTCAAAATCTGTCCAAGGGACGTGACTCCTACTGCAACCCACTGATGCTAAATGATGGTGTTTTTTCAGAGTCTACCTATAGGATCAATACGGCCTTYGCCCTTGTCAGTACTTCTGTCAGCTGCTAGGAAGACAGGCAGCCTTGTAGACAAGACACAGACAACGAGGTCAAGAGAAGTGGATTCTTTTCTCAGTTTGCCTTAGGGCTTTTGCAAAGCCTTGGACAAATCACACAACCTCTCCRTTAAACCTCCCGACTTCCAAAATGGAAATGATCATAACTGTCTGCTTCCCCAGGATGCCATGGAGTAAATCAATTCTTGGAGGAGGGAAAGGGGGGAATAGGGGTGTGTGGGAACAACAACTACACGGGTGCTTTGGAAGGAACAGACATATTTCTGTTAGCTTTTTTTTTTTTTTATAAACAGCCTTAGTGCATACCTGGGATTAAACATATTAAAAAATTAAGAAACATTTAGAAGATTTGGTTATGTAGACAGGTTATAGTTACTACAATATATTAACGTTGCTAGCCTAATTCTATGGACACTATTTTTTTTGGCTAAGGCCAGAGTAACTATGAAAAATTGAAAGTTCAAATGTCCCCAATCAAAAGAGAGTGCTTTGCAAATTTTTTAGTTTAGATGGCAGTCAGGAAAGTATTTTCATATTTCATTTGCTAGAAAAGATATCCAGAGTTGGCATTAGTAGTGGCTTTTATTCTCTGGCACATTGGTCCAGAGCATGCTGATGTAAACAGAACTGTCTCTTGACCTGTCATCTTTATTCTTCAACTTTGATATTGGSCCCCTCCAGTGGCTTCTTTCTCCGCCTGGGAGGCTTTAAAAAGTCAATTGATACAGAAAAAAAAAGTTTCAGTTTTCTTCTCTGCTTAAGACTCTAAAGAAATAGACATGTCTATTGTACAATTACTGAAGCTCTTGAAATAGTGTGGGTTTTTCTCTCCAATCCTGTGGGGAAAACAGCAAAGGGAAAAAAAAAAAAAAAGCATGTGATTCTGTCCACAACTTATGATATGATAAGTACATCATACTTTTATCTCTGATGGTTGTGGGTTTTTTGTTTTTTTTTTTGAGAAGAAAACGGAAAAGCTCTGTTTCAGAAATAGGCAATGCAAACAGCAATGCCTATGGGTAAGTTGGTCCATCATTGCCCATTATAAGACTCTTGCTTTTGATGCCTGTAACTGTCAAATATTAGCTAATTTGTAATGATTTTTTCCTGTGATTTGTGTGTCAGCCTGAAGCTGATTTTTAAAACAGCTTACTCCATTTGAAAAATGAGGTTAGCAAAAAAATACAYCCTCCTTGTGTTAAAAAATATCACTGAGTTGCATAACTGAGAAATTCTCCATGCTCTAAACCTGAAATTTGGCAAAGATGGGTCCCAGCCATAAACATGTATGATAAGAAGAGTCCATGATTAGGATTCAGGCCATGAAGACAAGAGGGTGATTGGAGGGTGAAATGAGAAGGCTGTGACAAGAATGAAAGAACAGTAGCAGGWAGGGATGGTATGTGGGACTGGAGCAAAGTGAGGAGATAGAGCAGAAAAAATTAYGAACTTGGACCAGAATTCGAAAGCGAACTACGGATGTAAGACTCTTTGCTAAAAGAATGGAAAGGAATGAAGGCATTGGACTGAGAGTAAGAGASAGAAAGTCCATAGGTATTACAGTACAATCTTCTCAAAGAGTCTCTGTGGTCAAAAAATGGTAATATAAATAGCTGGAAAACTACTGTTAAAATGTTTGCTTTATTTCTGTAGTGATTGCTGTTTTTAAAGAACAACAACTTACAGCCAGTGAATCCTGAGGAAGCTCTAGTGACAGTGTGCAGAGTTGTGGTTATTAAAGGTCTTGCCCTAGCTCCAAACCATTTGGACTTGGAAGAATTCTACACAAAGAGTGCAGAGTCATTCAGGTTTTTAGAATGTTAAAGAACAACSATTTTTAAAAGTTAGTCTCACACATTAGAAGATGGTAGGTTTAGTGCCCATAGAACCCTAATTCTCCTCAGTTTATATGTATTATTTTAAGCAGACTTTAATTGTATAATCATGTTAAGTTTTTYACAGAACACTAACCACATTAAGTGCAAGAATGGATACGGCTCAGGAAATGAATCAAGGAACTTGTCACCATTACAGAATGAGGTGCCTTGGAAGCTCCTCTTAAGTGCATCCCTCCGGCAATTTTCATTAACTTAGGCTTTCTGCACAGAAACGTGCCACTGCATTCTGTCATTTCTAAACTGTGTTTATGAGCTGAAACTCCCTATTTAGCAACAGTTTGTTCTGTGACACCAGCTAACTAAACTGCCTCAGTGGCAGCTACTTCAATGCAAAGCTTTATTCTCTCAGATAGGCAGCCCAGAAAGCAAAGATTTGATACCAGAAACTTAACCCTTATGTCATCTTTCCAGTTCTCACAGGTTTTCTCTATTCTAGTTTCTTCCCCTCTCCATTGGGAGAGGCCACTTATGAAACATCACAGGCATGCCCAGGTGTTGCTGACCCCACAGTCAAAGCCCTTCCTTAGGACAGTACCTTTTACAATTTTGGAGTTGTCTCAGGTGTCAGAACAAGAAACATCGTGTCATTGTCACTGAAAAACAGGTATGTGTGCTCCCTTTTAGCAGCTTCTCCCTTGTAACTCCAGGAGTTATTTGTGCTTTCCTGGGCATCCTTCTTCAAGATGGAATTGTTTTCCATTTGCATCTTTTACAGTATCCTTCAATGTAACTCCCTTTAAATCACATGGAATAATGCAAACAAAATAAAGCTAGCTGTATTGTRTCTTGTATTTCCAAAGATAAGAAATGTAACACCCTCATTTTCAACATGAATGTAATCAATAGGAGAGTTTTCTCATCAGAACTTTGCCWGATTTGTTGCAACAAAACCTTGAAGTTATAAAGGAATGAGTGACAGTGACAGTAAACACAGAACAAATCAGATTCTTCCTGAAGTATCTGTGGAATTGAGGAAGTCACTTAAATAAAATTTCTGAGGATGGCCAGTGAATTTTCCTCCTCTGGGGCACAGAAAATCCATTTTCTTGATTCACAAAAGATTTGGCAGCAGATATCTGCAAGGAGGCATCAGTAATGGCTGTACTCAGAATAAATGAAAGAGTACAAGATATACACTGGATCATATTGCAGACTTGCAGGACCCAGAAGTCTTCACTTCAAGCTTAAATTAGACCGTCAAGATCATCCAGTGCAAGCATCAGACCAGCACGACCACTGTCACCTCTACACAACACCACTCAGCGCCAGATCCAGGTGCCTCCTAAACACGCCAACGATTGGTGACTCCATCACCACCCTGGGCAACCCATTCCAAAGCCTGATCACCYTAACAGCGAAAAAATTTCATAGAAATCATGACTGTGTAGCTAAAGTCTACAGGCCGAGCACTTCAGGTGGGACCCTGCCCGCCCTTCCCCGCGGTACCTGAGCGCAACCCTGGGCTATCTCCAACCAGCCAGGAGCGCGGGCCAAGCGCGGGGAGCGCCCCCCCTCCAGTGGGAGCCTYCGCCACGGCTCTGGGAGGCGACAAGTACAGAATGTGGAAGGGAAGCGGCGCCCCTTTACCCTCTGGAAGCCTGAGGGCAGAGGGGAACGGGAGCGGCTCTCTCCTGGCGGGCACCGGAGCACCCGGCTCGACGCCCGCCCCGCCGCCCGCGCTTTACGGCCCGCCGTGTTTTGCGACGCCCAAGATGGCCGCCCCCAGGGCACAATGAGCCCGCTCCGGCCGCCGCCGCCGGGGGGGACGCGGGGCACGGGCAGAGTTGGCAGGAGCACGGCTGGGGCGCTCCTCCGGCAGCGGGACTCGTCAGCGACTTCTCGGCGTGCGGGGCCTTGCCGGCGCTCGTAGCGGAAGAGCGGAGCGTCCCCGGGGAGGCGGCATGTGGGGCGCCCTGCTGCGGCGCGGGGTCCGCGGCACCGGCGGGCTCCGGTGCCAGTCCTCGGGCGGCCCGCCCTGGAGCCAGGTGGTGTCGGAAGCCGAGAAGATCGTGGGGTACCCGACGTCCTTCATGAGCCTGCGGTGCCTGCTGAGCGACGAGCTCAGCAACATCGCCATGCAGGTCCGCAAGCTGGTGGGCACCAAGCACCCGCTGCTCGACACCGCCCGGTAAGCGCCGGGGGAGCCGGGGGCACGGCGGGGCTGGGGCCGCGGGCAGCACTCGGGAGCCTTGGCACAGCTGCTGGGAAGTTTTGGGCTTCCTCCGTGAGWCCCTAGGGAAAGGCTGCCCCGGGGCGGGAGGTTTCGCCTGCCCTCCGGGATCCTGGTTTCCTCGCCGCAACAGGTTTTCCCTGCGGTGCCCCGCTGTGGTTCGGAAGTTGCTTCGTTGTGACGCCACGTGCGGCGCTTCGCCGTACCGTGCGCGGAAAAAAAACCCCCAACATTCTCTTAAAAAGTGCGGCCGCCTCGCTAACAGTTATGTATTCTTTTAATGTTAAGAATTGCATAGCAAGGAAAACATGGGAAGAAAGCAGGGAGACTACTCAGCAGCAAAGCGGAAAATGACACTGCTCGGAACTGTGTATTTTGTTAMCAAGTGTTTTGGAATATCCAGCTGGGAGCTGCGAGTTTTTGTGTATTGAGAATTTTAGGGTTGCTAAGCTGTTTATCCGCTCTTTCATTTTAAAAGTAAACTAATGGAAGTCTTGCATTCTTGCCAATAAGCAGAAGTTGTGGTCGTTGAGTAGCGTTTCCTTTGACTGTAAAACAAGAACTCATTGGCAGAGTTTTTTTTACACAATTAAAAAGTTCTAGGAGCTTACCAAAATGAAGAAGAAACAAAGTGCAGTTTCCCATAGTCTTTTGGTTGTAGATCTGAGCGTTTTGGTTGTAGTTCTTGTTTCGTTTTGGGGGTTTTGCTGGTTTTTGTTTGATAGAACTGTTTGCTGTAACTGCAGCTATAGCAACATTAATAGAATCCAAGTTTAGTMTGCACAGTATTTTTTAACAGGTGTAAGACAAAAATTAGCATTTGTTTAAAGCAGATATTCTGCTTTTCTTTTAAGGAACAGAAATGGTAGCTGTGTAGTTGTGCTTGGCAAATCCAAAACTGTGTTGTAATTATATAAAAACAAGATTTGTTTTTCAAGCTCTGTCTCTAAATCTGGTTGTCTTGAGTGAACAAAATGAGTACAGGGGACAAACAGCTTTTTTTAAGAAACATGACTTCCAGGAAAGGGGATTTAGATATTGGCCTTAAGTAGACGTTTCTGGAAAAAAACCCAAATGAAATTGTTAATACAAATGGGAAATACCTGACTTTAGCGAATGGTGGTGGAGGGGATTTTGTTGAACTTTTTATAAATGAAAGTTGTGATATTGTGATAAATAGAAGGGACAAGAAGAACGTGTTCTTCTGTCTTAGGAAGGTCACTTGATGGAATGGAGRGAATAGGAGGACTGAAGCACAATGTATCTGGGCTTTTGAGTTTGCACTGCAGTTGTAGAAGTGTCACAGCAACCTGCATGGTAAAATGGAACTTTAGAGTGCCTGTTCAATGTGTGCTGGTTACTGGTTTATTTGTGGATGGAATTTAAACACAGTATTTTGGGGCATGATTGGAAGTTTTGTGGTGGAGCTGYGATGCAAGGGTTTGTTGKKKTTTWTTTTTTYATTCTAAGTGGGCTGCTTCAGGCTTAATTCTGTAGCCTGTGGCTTGTGGAACACCAGTAGGAATAGAGTCATGCCCAGGTTCAGCAGGATTAAATACATTAATTTTAAAAATTAATGTATGTTTCAGAGTACACTATTAACCTGATGTGTTGTGCTGGAAAGAAAAAATATTTACTCACATAAAACTGAAACCCTATGCCCTTCCTTTGGATCTTCTTATTTGGTTTCATTGGAATTTCCAAGGGCTTTGTTGCAGATGGATTTCCAATGGCCTTGACCTTTGTATTATAAGAAGAGTTAATATCCCGCTGCCAAGTTTTACTACACCCATAGTAATGCACTAATTTTACCTCACCTTGTTTTATGGTGTGATTTTGCAATAAGGTGAAATTTGACCTTGTTCTTTCTCGATAATCATGGTAATTTATTTCTGAAATTTAAGTGTGGTGTGTTTAATGTAAATGTGAGTGATTTTAGTTTTGGGTCTGAGATCTATGCCCTGACTTACCATAGCAATTTAGGAAACAGGTCATGATTTTTCAATACTAGGGTTTTTTTTTCAATACTTATAAATTTCTGGTTCATTACTCATTYGTAAAAGGCAACAAAGGTTTCCTGTTGTGTGTTCAGACAAATGTTTTAAAACATAGGTATCTAAAATATTTTGTTTGTTTTTTTTAAAAAAAATACTTAAATGATTGATATGTTCTGCAACTCTAATCTTTGAGACTCGTGAGTGAGGAAATGCTATATATATCTGAGAAGTACTCCAACATTTAAGGAGATTTTTGTATTTGGAAACACCTGAAAAATATGTGCTGTAAAATTGATTAGTTGATGTTCTGTTTCTCAAGTTTCTACTCATTAATTTTGACGTTATAAGTAGTAACAATCAAATTGATTGCTTGCTGTCAAACAATTTTCTTTAACCTTCTTTGACTGGTAGCATTTTGTCATCAATGGTTTTGTGTCTACCCTCCCTGCCTAAAGGCTTTGCCAGCTTTTGAAGTCTTCCTGAGACCATTAGGGGTTTCTTAAAGCAGAGGGTTCTCTACCAGTGCTTATCTGMATGGAATAGGTTCTGAGCTGAGACAGCATAGGACATAATTGCCACCACACTGAAAGCCTTTAGTGTAACTGGAGTTCTGATGAATGTTTTTAACATTTTGCCAAGCTTTGGCTCTCTAGGCTGTTGCAATGCAATGCCTGTGCTGAGAGCCTTGAAGAAGGCAGCTGAAAGGTATCTGTGCATGTGAGACAGGCCATGTGGAGAAACAGCTGTTGGGCCACTATACGTTTCTCTGATGATCCCATCCATTTCTTCCTCTTGTTTGGATGCAGCGCTGGCAGCTCCTGGGTGTAAATGCCTGCGGTGAATCAGGACTACAGCAGGTGTTGTTCTGGGATGATGTGTGACCCTGGTACCTCCTACCAAGCTTGTGCCTGGCTAGCAGCTTTAAATCTGAGAGCTACTGCTGACCCTCCTCTTGGGAGGGTAGAGACAGGTGACTGAGCCCTACAGTGACAGATTTGGGAGATCTGTAATCTGTGTAGCAAAGTCGAATTMAYRTTTTATTAAWTTTTGTTTTATTTCTAAGGTTTTGGTTTCTTAAAAGTCAGCCACATGAAGTGARCAGCCCCAGTACTAGCTTTGCAAGATTTGTTAGGAGGGCAAAATGTGAGGAAAAGGTTGCATTTCATTTTAGAAAGGCTTATGTCTAGTGGTTAATGGATCATTGGAAGCTGGGGTATCTGGATTAGATTCACAGCTGTGCTTTTGGCTCTCTGACTGGAGCAAGTCACTTAATTTTTCATACTTGCATTTACCTATCTGTAAAGTGAATAATGTAGCATTTGCTTTCTGGAGTTGTTACACTTTATTCATTGCAGCCTATATTGATCACTGTGATCTTTCCCTGGAAAATGGTGTATAAACAATATTAACAAAGAATACTTGAAAGAAATCCTATAATTAAAATATTTGCCTCTAATGGATACTCTGGAAAMAAAACTGCAGTCTGACTACTTTTGKGTCTTTCTGTTTGTAGTCCTCTATGTCACTGTATGGTTTTTCAGAGCTTTAAGATTTCTTTTGCTGTAATGAAGTGTCTTCAGCAGCTACTTGGAACTAGTTTTGGTTTTGTTTTTTTTTTCTCTCCAGGGTTTGCTGGACTAAAGCAAAATGTTTTCAATACAAGAATGTGTGACCTTCTTTTCACTTGAGAAGCAAAGAAATCTCCTATCTTTTCTCTTTCCCCTCTCCTTTCTGGGCTAGCATGTATCCTTCTTAGTGTAGAAAAGAGTCTTGAATTGGCACAGTGATCTATTTTTCTCAAATACATAGTGTGAATAACGTTTACGTGATTACTTAATCTCCCTTGAGAAGGGTATAGCTTGCTGCAGATTGTAAACAGTAAACGTTATGGCCAATGCATCACTTTTATAATATCAGTAAATGAAATGGAACACTTCATACACGTAAAATTATTATGGGATACCATTTAGCTCCAGCCATTCTCTCATTAGCCTGCGGGAGGAATGATTATGTTTTTGTTCTGTCAGAATTGTTCGTTGGTGATAAATGCTTAAGTATACATAGTTTCAGTTTTCCTRGATTATTGCAGAAATAAAAAGACTGGCTAGACCAAGTTTTGTTCTGTTGCAGCCTATTAACGTGGTGTAGATCTCTAGACATTTTAAGCACCAAAAGTGTGATCCAGAGCACCCTCAACATGATATGCTTTTGTTTAAAATGTCTGATAACGTTGGCTTCCTGATAGTTCTGCTTCTTYATCAGCTTGAGATGGCTTAGTTTGGTAACACATCTTGTAACTCCAGGTGTGGCATGCATCTGTGCTCCTTTGCAGGTGCCTAATTTCAGCATAGACCTAGGCATTTGTTCCAGCCTGTTGTTGATGGAGTTGTTACTGCCAATTTATATTTTGTCTTAACAGAATGGTGACCTTAAAATTGTCTTTTTTATATAAGTGTTGGTGCTGTGAGTGACTACGAGTAGCTTTTTAGCAACTTGTTTCAAATATTAATCAATTTTTATTTTCTGAGCCAGAAAAATGATTGCATCTATTTACTTGACAGTGGCTAATGAGGTACCTTTCCCTGAAAACAGCAGGCAGCTGGACACTCAAAGTGATAAACAGAAGGTCTGGCCAACTTTGAGCTTCTAAAACTAAAATTTACAATAGTCTTCCAAGTTCTACTGCGTTGCTTAATCTGTAACAGGCATGGGGTCATAAAGTCCTTCTCCTGCAATTGCCAGATTAGAAGTTAAAATACATTTGCTTTCACAAAATTTTATTCTATTTTCAGCCTGCTATAACACTTTGTAAAAAATATTATTGCAGTAGGAAGATGTGATTTTTATAATTGTGGTCAGAATGCCTGTGAGGTTAGCCATGATATGGCAGCAGTGTCGTTTCCTATGTTCACTGCATAAATCTGTTTGGCTTCCTGGAAGCACTGGCCAGCCCAGCTGGCA